AAAAAAAAAAAAAAAAAAAAAAAGTAGTCAAGGACATTCTCTGGCGGTCCAGTGATTAGGACTTGGCACTTGCACTGCCAGCGCCCGGGTTCAATCCCTGGTTGGGGAACTAAGATCCTGCATACTGCACAGTGTGGCCAAATTTTTTTTTTAATTTGAAAAAGAAGAAAAGTAGTCAAAGAATTGTAACTTATTTTTCCTCACTTACCTAATAAACAGATTTTTAAAAGATTAGTAATGGCATAGGCCAAATAAAACAAAAACTTATAGATGGGAATATAAACTGGTACAACCTTTTCTGGAGAGGAGGTTGAGCACATGTCCCAATGACGGTAAAATATTCATACCATGTGTTCAGGTGTCCCACTTCCAGGAATCTATCTTAGGGAGAAATCTGAACTTTTAGCTAAATGTACAAATTTAAGGTAAGTCAAGGTAATGTTGACATCTTTGTGATAACTACCAAAACAATAGTTTTAAAGTATACAGCTACCCGTACTTCCCTGGTGGCACAGTGGTTAAGACCCTGCACTCCCAACACAGGGGGCCCGGGTTCATTCCCTGCTCAGGGAAATAGATCCCACATGCATGCCTCAACTAAGAGTTTGCATGCCACAACTAAGGAGCTCACCTGCCGCAACTAAGGAGCACGCCTGCCGCAAATAAATGAAATAAATATTTTTAAAAATAATAACAATAGTAATAAAGTATATAGCTATCACATTTATAAGTAGGTAGAATCATTAAAATATAGCTGATAAATGCAAAATAAGTAAAAAACAGAACTAAAATATCAAAGGATGGTGGAAAAATAGATGATAGTAAAATGATAGCTTAAATCAGACATATCAGTAGCTATATTAAGTTAAATTAACTAAAATGAAATACTCAAAAGTTGTCAGACTGGATTTTTTTAAAAAGCCAACTATAAGCTCCTTATAAGAGATATATTTAAACATTAGGATATAGAAAAGTAAATAGTAAAAGGCTAGAAAAAGATATACCATGCAAATACCTACTGAAAGAAAATTAGTATAACTGTACTAATATCAGACAAAGTAAAATTTAAGGCAAAGAGTATTACTAGAGATAAAGAGAGCTCAATGAATCAATTCAACTGGAATATAAAAAATCTAAAATTTGTATGCACTTAATAATAATGACCTCAAAATACATTAAGCAAAAACTGACAACTAAGAGGACAAATAGACAAATCTATAAGTATTGTGGGAGACTTTAATACAATTTCTCAGTAACTTATGGAACAAACTGACAAAAATTATGAGTCTAACAGATTTGAATAACACAACAAACTTGACCAAACTAACATATATAGAACATGTACTCAACAACAGCAGAATACACATTTTTTTCTTCAAGAATGCATGGAACATTAACCAAAATGGAAGGCATACACAAGGACATGGAACAAGTCCTAATACATTTCAAGGTATTGAAGTAATATAGAGATATCTTCTAATCACAGAGAACTGAATTAGAAATCAATAGCAAAAGAATAAATAGTAAATTCCCAAGTGTTTGAAAATTAATCAGTACCTTTTGTCTGATTCTTATAAACGTTTTCTTATGCAAAATTTTAAACATATACAAAGAAAGGCAGAAAAGTATAATGAACTCTCATGAATTCACCATCCTGCTTTTAAAATGATGAACTCTTGGCCAATTATATTTCATCTATACCCTCACCCGCCTGCTCCTTCTATATTATTTTGAAGCAAATTCCAGACATCATCACATTTTATCTGAAGCAAAACACTTCTGTATATCCCATGGGTCACAGAATAAATCACAATGAAAATTAGAAAATATTGTTAACTCAATGATAGTGGAAATACATTAAAACTGATGGTACTTCTGGTTCCAGCCAAGATGGCTTGGCCCCGTTCCTTGCTATTCCTCCCTCTTATAACTAAAAACCACAGATGGAATACAACATAAAGGAAAGACTCTGAAAGATGAAGAGAGAAGACTGACTGGGGACTTTGGATCTTGAGGAATGACATAGCTGTGAGTTTCCTGTTTGTTTTTTGTTTTTTGTCTGTCTCTCATATATCTGGAAGGGGGTGACTGGTGATGGAGAAGTGTACAACATGGAACCATCAATAGGTACAACCCCAAATTCCCAAGAAACCTGTTCCCTATAGTCGAAGGACTAGAAAAAGGGTGGCCTAACAGAATAGAAAATTATTTTGATAATATCTACCTTACTGTAGGCAAACAAAAGGAAAAACCAACTTCCCCTCATGGTGTTAGCAGGGCCCAGTGGAGGGCTAGACTTTTGGACCCATCAGCACCAGCAAGGTATGGTGAGTTGGCTTTCCACATTGTCATAGGGATCATATCAGTGGTGCCAAATGGAGCTGAACTTGCACACCTACCTGGCAGCAAAGAGACCGAATAAGGCAGTGTGAGGTGGTGCTAGTTGGCGCTCCGCTTTCCTAAACCAGGAAGTGTCAACTACTGTCAGCAGGACCCACTTGAGAGCTGAACTTCTATCCTCACTGAGCTGTAATGAAGCCACACCTACATGCTTTCCTCTTTTCCTTCCACAGTCACCTCCCACCTCAGTATTGGTGAGGCCCAGCAGGCAGCTGAACATCCACACCACCTGGACCTGCACACTACACCTAAACAGGGACACTGCCTGCAAAAAAAAAAAAGATTAAATAGGATCCAGAGCCTCATAGCATGATACCCCAAATTTCCAGGATAAGACTAAAAATCATTTGTTATATTAAGAACCAGGCAACTTTCAACTTGAATGAGAAAAGACAATTAGACACTAACACTGTGATGACGCAGATGCTGGAATTCTGACAAGGATTTTAAAGCAGTATTCATAGAAAGGCTTCAGTGAGCATTTGTGACCATTCTTGAATCAAGTGAAAAATTAGAAAGCTTCAACAAAGAAAGAGAAGATGTGAAAAAGAACCAAATAGAAATTTTAGAACTGAAAACTGATACAAAAATTGAAATTTTAAAACTCACTGGATGGGTGTAACAGCAGTATAAATATGACAGAGGAAAGAATCAGTGAACTTCAAGACAGAACAATAGAAATTATTCAGTCTGAACAAGCAAGAGAAAGTAGACTGAAAAGAAATGAACAGAGGGACTTCCCTGGTGGTGCAGTGGTTAAGAATCCACCTGCCAGTGCAGGTTACAAGGGTTCAATCCCTGGTCTGGGAAGGTCCCACGTGCCGCGGAGCAGCTAAGTCCGTGCACCACAACTACTGAGCCTGCTCTCTAGAGCCTGCGAGCCACAACTATTGAGCCCACACGTCACAACTACTGAAGCCCACGTGCCCTAGAACCCTCACACTGCAACTACTGAGCCCATGTGCCACAACTACTGAAGCTCACGAGCTCTAGGGCCTGCATGCCCCAACTACTGATCCTGCGTGCTACAACTACTGAAGCCCATGCGCCTAGAGCCTGTGCTCTGCAAGAGAAGCTACCATAATAAGAATCCTGTGTACCGCAACGAATAGTAGCCCCCACTCGCCGCAACCAGAGAAAGCCCGCACGCAGCAACGAAGACACAAAGCAGCCAAAAAAAATGAACAGAAATGTGGGACAATAATGAAAGATCTAACATTTATATCATTGGAAGCTCAGAAAGAGAGGAGGAGTGGTGCTGAAAAAGTATTCAAATAAGTAATGATGTAAAACATCTCAAATTTGGCATAAGACATAAACCTACAGATTGAAGAATCTGAGTGATCCTCAAAAAAATTAAACCAAGACTGATCAGTAAAAAAAAATAGAGAAGGCATAAGTTACATATATCAAAACCAAAAAGGTTACGGGCTTCCCTGGTGGCGCAGTGGTTGGGAGTCCGCCTGCCGATGCAGGGGACACGGGTTCGTGCCCCGGTCTGGGAGGATCCCATGTGCCGCGGAGCGGCTGGGCCCGTGAGCCATGGCCGCTGGGCCTGCGCGTCCGGAGCCTGTGCTCCGCAACGGGAGAGGCCACAACAGTGAGAGGCCCGCGTACTGCAAAAAAAAAAAAAAAAAACCAAAAAGGTTAATATCACTACAAATCCTACAAACATTAAAAAGATGAGGATATTATGAAGAATTTTATGCAAATAAATTTGAAAACTTAAATGAAATTGACAGTCTTACCAAATGCAAATTAACTAAAACAAACACCAGAAAAAAAGAGAAAATCTTAATAGCTCTATATCTTTTAAATGAATTAATTCATAATTTTAAAACCTTCCACTAAAAAACCTTTAAGACCAGATGGCTCAGTTCAGTCATTCTGGAGTGGGGCTGAGAATTTACATTTCTAATAAGTTCTCAGATGATGCTGATTCTGCTAGTGTAGATAGCATGCTTTGAGAATCACTGTTATAGGGTACTTTTCTAGCATTAACAACTGTAAACTCTAAAAGTATGCACATTTTAGAATTTGAATGTGACATACTTGTATCCTTTGTAAATTCTTTTAATGATTTTCCTCCTCTTATTTATCTGTAAGATAAATCTTTATATATTAAAGATAAAGATAAAGATATAAAGATAAATCTTTATATATTAAAGATGTCCATTCTTTGCCAAATACATTGCAGGTATTTTCACCAGTGTGTCATATCTTTCAAACTAATTTATAAATATTTTGTTATCCAAAAATGTTAAACTTTTATATAGTCAAGGGGGAATAGAAGTTATAAATAAAGCAATGAGTTTATAATTGTCAAAGCTGGTAATGGGGACATGGGAGTTCATTGTACTCTCTGCTCTACTTTTGTATATGTTTAAGGTTTTCCAGGAGTTTCCTGGTGGTGCAGTTGGTTAAGAATCCGCCTGCCAATGCAGGGGACGCAGGTTTGACCCCCTGGTCCAGGAAGATTCCACATGCCGCAGAGCAGCTAAGCCTGTGCACCACAACTACTGAGCCTGCACTCTAGAGCCCATGATCCGCAACAACAGAAGCCACTGCGATGAGACGCCCACGCACCACAACAGAGTAGTCCCTGCTTGCAGCAACTAGTGAAAGCCCACGTGCAGCAACAAAGACCCAATACAGCCTAAAATAAATAAATAGATAAATAAAATTTTCCAGAATGAAAATATATCAAGCATACCACTTTATCAATGTTAGAGTTTATATTTTTTGTATAAAATATTTGTTAACTTGGTGTTTTTTTAGTCTTAGCTGCAGCACACAGGCTCTTAGTTGCGGCGCACAGGCTCTGCATTGTGGTGCGTGGGCTTCTCTCTAGTTGTGGCATGCGGGCTCCTTTCTAGTTAGAGCACATGGACTCAGTAGTTGTGGTACGTGAGCTCTCTGGTTGTGGCGCGCAGGCTCTAGAGCGCTCAGACTCAGTTGCCCCGCAGCATGTGGGATCTTAGTTCCCAGACCAGGGATCGAACCCATGTCCCCTGCATTGGAAGGCAGATTCTTAACCACTGGACCACCAGGAAAGTCCCTAATTAGGTGTTTTGAAGGGTAAATAAAATAGTGTTATTTTATACATTTATAGACCACTGGCTATACTCATCATAAAAAGCCACAGCGTAAAACTTTTGTTATATTGATTTCATATTTTTGTGTGTTTGTTTGAAGTGCTTGAAGCACTTAACATGGAGGAAATGATGTCCGCCATTTCCTGCTGGATGGAAAGCGCAGCACACCCTCTGGCATCAAGAGACAGGGGAAACACTGAGGAAATTCCCATCTTAATTATTGAAGGTTTCCTTCTCTATAATTATAAGTAAGCATTCCCCACTCTAATATTGACTCTGAATGAATGGGAAAAAAAACTTTGTGCACTAAATATGCTGTTAATTTAGGCCCCTTGACACTATATGGAATAGAAGCTATTTTCTGACCATTCCGTATGAAGAATGTAAGAGGAGGAGGAGGTAAGTTTTGAAATTGCCTTTGTGGATTGTAATTCAAAAGACAAACTTTAGGAAAAACAAGGAAACAGCATTATTGAGCAATGTGTATATGTCATTTTTCAAGCAAGAGAAGCCTCAATTCTTCATACAAAGAGCAAGACCTTTTTCCATAAAGGGTCACCCACATGGAGTAATGCAAATTACTTTTCTAAGAAAAGGCTCTTGGACAAGCTCTTTGGCTCATCTTTCCTAAATCTTCATATGAAGCAATCCCATGTTGATTATGGTTTTAAATTAGGGGGCCTGTATTCTGCTACAGCCACAGAGAACACCGATTAGTTTAAAGCTTACTACAACATATCAGTATCTCTATCATTATTTACATTAACATTTGTCTCTCAATTCTTTTATAAATTACTAGAGGGGGGGAAATAATTATGAATGGTAGTCAGTGAATTACAGAATTCATTTTTTAGATCAGGGGACTAAATCCATTGGGTGTCGTCTTTGTAACTGGCATTGAGTCTAAAAAGTGTAGTCGTAATCCTGTTGAGACTCAGTCTCTGAGTGATTTCCCCGTTGTCCTGACCATTATTTTACTTTATCAATTGTGTTTATGTTAACGTAAAGTTTCCTACGTATTTTGATAGTACAAGGATCTACGAGCCTCCAGACACCCCAGGGTACTTTGAGGGCCACGTGTGGCCCATGTATCTAAAGCACAGAAAAGAAATGGAGAACATCTCATGGGAAATCGGTAAGTGTCTTTTTTTCCCTCCACGGAAGGCTTTTTACTTGTCATTGCCTCAGAGTACACAAAAGAAAGGACTTTAGAAGGCATTTTTCTCATGTATTAGATTATAAAAGGACACTTTAAGCTAGAACACTCTGGGCTCCCCCTTTTCCACACTGGCTCTCCTGCCTTCTGTTTCTCTCTCTGTGGCTCTTGTGAAAGTTTGTCAACTTCTAGATGGTCATTCATTCAGCAAATATTGATTGAATGCCTTCCATGTACAAGGCACTACCCTGGTGATATCAAGGGAAATAAGGCAGACTCAGTCTCTACTCTTAGGAACCAGCATTCTATCAGGAAAATGGATGTTAAATGGATGATGCACAAGATTATCCTTTTTAGCTGTGCTGAGTACTGTGGCACTGAGCTTCAGGGGGACCGCCCAAGTCTCAGCAATCCGGGAAGGCTTCCTTGAGGAAGCCATATTTAAACCAGGTGATAGATTTAACTGGACAAAGGCAGGTAACTTGGGGAGATAGAAGGTCACCCCAGATGGTGGGTATGGTGCATGAAAAGACCGAGGGGCACCAGAAGGAAGGTTGTGGTAGAGAAAGCCAAGGCAAGAGGTGATGTTGCTGATACAGGAAGGGTCCAAACCCTGCAAGGCCATAGACCAGTTAAGGACTTAGGTCATTATCCTAAGGAAAGTGGGAAGCCCTCTACAGAGAGGCTTTATACAAGGATATGGTAGATATAAATTTTTTGTTTTAGTAAGATCCCTCTGGCTATGTGAAGGGTAGATGTAGAGGGTGCAGTATTGGACATATGTGCTCAGAAGAACTGCGTGATAGGATAGACATGGAGGATGCAGGCAATTGAGGTGGCAAGGACAACAGCTCAGGAATTGGCAGGCATTATTTCAGAAAATAGGAAAAAGTGAAGGAGTCGCAGATTTGCAAGGAGGAATGTGAGTCTGTTTTGCACGTAATGAAGTTGAGATGCCTGAGGGACTTAAAGCAGTGATTTAGAAATAAATATCTGGATCTATGGGCCTGGGCCAAGAACGGATCCTTGGGACATAGAGTACCACATGGAGAAGATGCAGGAGGCTGGAGAGAGAAGGGTTTTGGATGGGGTAGAGCAATCAAAACTGACGTATCTTTTCAGAATAAAGGGAGTTGCGCGTATTGTGAGAAGCCTTGTGGCCTCTTTGGTAGCTACAGAAAGCACACAGGGCCTCCCCATGATCTGGCGGCTATTATGATCCCTTCTTCAGTCCATTTCAACCCCTCTTCCCCATCCACAGAGCTTCTCGTGACATCCTGGCCACACCACTTCCAACATGGACCATTGGTTGCAGGGATGTCTTCTTACTACCCCTTTCTCTCTCTCTCCCCATCTAAAATGCAAATCCAGCCATGCTCCTACCTTGCTTAAATACCTTCAGAGAGTCTCCAGCCCTTCAGTATAAAATCCAAACAGCCAGACCTCAAGGCCACTAAAGACTAAGGCACAGCTCCAAAATCTCATCTCTATACTGTTCCTGCCTCCCCACATTCTAGCCTTTCCAAACTGAGCATCTTTTCCTTAACAAAGTTCCTCCTACCTCCCTAACCTCTGCAGTTTTCTGACTAGAAGGCCCTTTCTTTCCTTTAACCTACATAACTTCTACTTTTTATCCCAAACTGACTATGCCAGTTTTGTTAAAAATATATATCTCATGGGCCTGGAGAATTCAGATTCAGTACACATGTGAACTCATACCCCTTCCTGGTTTAAGAAGCTTCACAGGTGATCCTGATGTATAAGTAAGTTCAAGAACTACTCACTTAAGTGATTTCTTTTTCTTTTTCTTTTTTTTTTTTTTGCCATGCTGTGAAGCTTGTGGGAGCTTAGTTCCCGGACCAGGATTGAACCTGGAGTCCTAACCAGTGGACTGCCAGGGAATTCCATAAATGATTGTTTTGAGAAGGGACCTCTTCAGTGCTCCTAAAGTGCCATATGTACAGTGCCACTTAACTCTGTTTCTTTCTTGTTTAATTTTCACATCAGCTAGTTTGAATTTTCTCTGCAATAAATCAAAATTTCTTACCCGTTGTACCTGGCTGTGATATACTTCTCTCTTTAATGGCTATTAATTTCTTTTTAAGTTATGTTCCTGGGTTCTTTGGTTAAACCTATTGGTGTTCTCAAGAGATGCCAAGTGCCAGAGTAAGCATCCTGTATTAATAAGCCTGTTAGCATTTAAACTGCTCTCTTTTCCCCTTCTCAGTTTACCTAGATGGAACAAAATCTGAAGAGGACCTCTCTTCACAAGTGTATGAAGACCTAATACAAGAACTAGCAAAGCAAAAATGTAAGTATTGTCCAATCAAAGTGGATTGTGAAGGAGCAGCCAGGAGAAATAGTTCATTACATACCCAAGAATGGTATACCAGACAGCTAATGTAGGAGTGATTGTATCTATTCATGCATTGCTTTGAAGATAGTACAGAATCAGACACTCTGAATGGGTCTAGGGACTTGATTACTTTGTGAGTTTTTTTTTAAGGGTGAAAATATTCACCCTTTGTTATATCTCTTAATGATATTTATGTTATTTAGTTTAAAATTTTTAGTAGATGGCTGTTATTTCAATGGGACTGAAATTATCCTTTGAGTCCAGTGAAGTTAAAATGCTGGTGATCTTCTTTTAATATGTATAAAGTTCCCTTTCTCATTTATTCCTCCTAAAGATTTTTCATAAATTCTATTTCCCAAAATAAACAAAAAAATTTAAAAATCACTGAGTGTTTCTTCAAGATTTTCATATCAGACAATACATTTTTCAAGTGACAGAAATCCTCCTAAATCTGGCTTAAGCAGAAATAAAGTACGGGAGTGGCAGTGGCTTCAGGCTTAGCTGTATTAAGGAGCTCAAATGGGGTCCTCATGGTTTTGCCTCAATTTCATTTTCTGTTTGGGTATATTTTGAAGTCAGTCTCTCTCTACTGACAGATAAGATGTCTTTTGGCAACACCATCCTCCTAGGTCCAACAGCCCCAGTAAAAAGACAGTTTATTCTTTTTCAAGATTGTCTATGAGTTGATAAATTTTGAAGCTGGGTGTTGAGTACAGGGGGTCTATATATTATTCTCACTAGTTTTGCATATGTTTAAAATTCTTTATTTTGAACATTTTTTAAAGTAGTTTTCCATTGTAGCCCAGTGGAAAAGTCCCAGGAAAGATTTTGATTGGTCCTGTTTGGGTCACATGACTTACGCCAAACCAGTCACTATGCCTGAGGAGATGGTTTATTCTGATTGGCTAGGACTGGATCATGTACTCGTCTTGTAATTGAGTACCTCTCCTAAGACCTCCTGACTTAAGGGGAGAAATTCCCCAAGGGAAAGCAGGGCAGGAGGTAGAAACCAGAAGAAGGATGACAAAGTGTGCTGGGAAAACAAAACTATAGATCTAGCTGTTTCATTGGAACTGTTTGAACTAAGAGGGTTTTCATGGCTAACATACAAAATGCAGTCATCAGCTGGCTCAAGAGATAACAGTATGAGCCACTTTGGCAGTGAAGAATATTACATGCTCTTTTGGTGAGAAACAAATCCCCCAGTCCAAATCTCAAAATCTCTCAATAAGAATTAGATTTCCTATGCCCTCAGTAAATTCCTATCTGACTAGCAGTCTAAGCCCAGCCAGGCAGCTCATTGATCCTGACACATTCCCAATTTCAGGAGCAGCCCTTCATGTAGACATGAACCTATTTAAAAGAAATTTCAGGACCATATTAAAATTTCTTTCTTTAAGTGGAACTTAAAATCCTTGCCAGGAGCTGATTCACTTTGTTATAAAGCAGAAACTAACACACCATTGTAAAGCAGTTATACTCCAATAAAGATGTTTAAAAAAAAAAAATCCTTGCCTGCTCAGGTATGCCTGCTCACTCCTGCTATCTGTTACTCTCATAGGCCTCCCATAATGAAGCTCAGGCACCAGCATAAGTGGATACAGAGTGTAGGGTGAAGACAGGGGCTCAGCCTTTGTAAACGATAGCACCTGAGCCAGAGCCACTTCTCTGAGAGTTATTGGCTCCCTTGCTGACCTTGATAAGACACTTATGGGTGTTTCAGCAGTTGGACATCTATACCTTTCCATCCTCTCAATAATGGCTAATGCTTGGGTCCAATTTTCCTTTAATGACCAAGTCACATGCTGAAGTTTGCTCTTATGATCCACCTGCTGATAAAAGTAAAGGAGCCTTGGGACTTCCCTGGTAGCACAGTGGTTAGGAATCCGCCTGCCAGTGCAGGGGTCATGGGTTCAATCCCCGGTCTGGGAAGATCCCACATGCCGCGGAGCAACTAAGCCCCTGAGCCGCAACTGAGCCTGCGCTCTAGAGCCCTCGTGCCACAACTGCTGAAGACCGCGCGCCTAGGGCCCGTGCTGCGCAACAAGAGAAGCCACCACAATAAGAAGCCCGCACACCGCAACGAAGAGTAGCCCCCACTCGCCGCAACTAAATAAATTTATTTATTTATTTATTTACTTACTTACTTATTTATTTATTTATAAAAAAATGAAGGAGCTTTGATCGTGTAGGTCAGGCAAATTGCACCTAATTCCATACCAAGTGCCAGCTTGTGCTATCTGGTCCAAGGCCCAAGAATAGCTGGCATGTTTTGATGAGGGCTGAAAGTCCACAGCAAAGTACATTTCTATGTGTGTGACACCCTCCTCTTTCCTTGCCTACATCCTAGAGGTTTGTAAGGAAGTATTCCTTTGTAAGGCTATCTTGCTTGTGTTCAAGATATTGCATAAAGCTTAAAAAGAAAAAAAATAATAGCAAAATGTTAGAAAAGACGTAAAATCCAAAGAAGATCAGCTTTTCCTACCTCCAAGATCTATGTTCATTTTTTCCAGTTGCATAAATAAGTTACTGCATTATTTATGACACATCACATTTCCCAGTTCTTCCAACCACAGTACCTGCCAAAGCCAGCCTGGAGGGATCCTCAGCATAGCCTGGTTTAACCCTCAGTATGGGTCTGAGCTAGCGAGGAGACCTTTCAAATGTTTCAGTCGACTACACCTCAAGCTTCTGATAGCATCTCATAAATTGTTTAACTAATTTTCTATTCTAAGCATATAGAATCATAATTGTGATTAAGTAATAATAATGAAAGGCAAACAACAAAGATTGAATTTAATTATTAAAGAAACAAATAACCCAGGAGAGTAAGTTTATAAAGTTATATGTTTAATCCTCATTTAAATCCAGACTTTGAGGCAGAATTTAATCATTACCTATTCTCCCTATGACAAGGCAGCTCTAGCTACCAGGAACATTCACACTCCCTTTAAATAAAGTGTTTATTTTCATCTCATTATAAAAACATAATAATTTTTTAAATTTTTAATCTTTTAGGGAGAAAATAATCACCTATATTCCCACCAATCATCACTGTTAACATTTTGATAAGTACATATCCAGTGTTTTTGCTATTCACATCAGTCTTTTATATGGTTACATGGTTTACATAGTTAATTGCCATGCTTACTTTTGTTTTTAAATTAGTATTTAATAAGCTTTATAGAGTCCCTTATGTAATGAAACTGAATAAGACTAAATAGTTCTCCAGTTGAAGGATTCAAGGCTGAGTTCTGTTTTGCTCATTAAAAGTAAATTATAAGACCTGACAGTGACATCTTACTACAGAAGAAAGATGTCAAATCAAAGGAACAAACATTGTAAAATAAAAATTTAATAAAATGAATTTGGGATATTTTTCTATATTGAATTTAAAATAGTTTCCAGTTACAAAGTAATAGTAGTATAATTATATAGTATAATATCCAAATTAACAAAATTATTGAACCATTTCCCAATTGTTGGATATTTTGTGTTGTTAGAAAGCTTTTTACATTGACAAATAACATGCGGTAAAAATTTCTGCACAAATTACTGGTTTTCTTCTTCTTGCATTAAAATTTTTCAGAAGTAGCACTTGCTTGGTCAAAGAATATCATCATTTTTATATTTTACATGCTTCAAAGATTAAATAGTATCCTAAAATAGGTGTGCTTTTCCAGCATGAGATGTGTAATAAGAATGCGGTAGGCTTATCACTGAGTTTCTAAGCCAAAGTCACTATTCAGCAAGGCTTCCTTACTTTAAATAAATAAAAAATATTAAAAAAATGAAGATTGAAGGTAGGAATATTTCTTTCCTCAAACCAAGGATAACATTCCAAAGCAAGAATTCTACTGTACCAGCCACCTTTTGTGTTTTTCTTCTAGTTCTCAAATTATTTCATTCCTTGAAGTCAAGGATTATTATACCAATTGCAGATGATATTGGATATCTGATAGCTGAAAATAGGCTTAAATTTAACACAAGGATTAAATGAATGAGACTTGGACTCTATTTAGTTCTTTACAGAAAACCAGCATTTCTTGCCCCAGAATCCCTGTAACCTTAACATCCTTAGATGTTAGTGTGAAGATTTAATAAAATGACAATTGGAATTCTCCATTAATTTCTTTTCTATTTATAATTATTCACCAGGTCTGCAAGTGACATCGTAAAGTTGGAATGCACTGAATCCTTCCTGGAGTGAATTAGGAAATTCAAAGGAATCTATGCAAGAACCTTAACCAAGATACAATGTGTACTTCGGTATGATGACAGCCTGTTGTTTTGTTTATTTGTTTCTCTGTTTGTTCTATCACACATGATTTCCTTAACACATGGAAAAGTAAGTAGTTATCCATGACAATGGACAGGAATTTACCTTAACTTTGTTCTCACTCCAGGAAGTGCAAGATACAGCATATCTCACAAAGAGTGAGTCAGTTTCTCTAGACCAGTGATTGTCAAACTCTTCTGAATGGGACCCGGAGTAAGGAATAAGATATAGATCACAATCCAGTATATATGTAACCTATTGATGTATGTGTTTGTGTGTATGTATCTATATGTGTTGCATGTATCATATCAAGAATTATAAAATATTTACCTCACATACAATGTATTCTTGATATTTCACTATTTTTAATTTTTTAAAAATATTGGTTACCATCCCATACCAATGCCCACCTCCTGCAAATAATGGGATAACCAGGAGTAGTCATATTGGTAATCATATTGAATAAATCAACAATTTGCCAACAGTATCATTTTTGTGTTTTGTCCTTGTTGCCACTGTTACTGTTTTTTATATGTGTCTGAAACCACTGAATCATTTGTGTCACTTATGTTGAGACTTTGTTACAAATAAGGTTTTTTATGTGCATGTTTTATTTTGTTTTTGTCAAACCATTGGTCTAAAATAGCAGAAATAAGTTACAGTTACTTCAGTGATATGTAATACAGGGGAGCTTTCATTGAAAAACACAGCAGGAGATCTGTATAATCGTATCAGTTTTTTGAGGCCTCGTTCAATGCTGGAATTTAAATTAGTGATCAACTTGTTATTTATTAATAATAGATAGATTGCTCACACCCTCTCAGTCCTTACAAATATAAAATATATTCTTACATTAACTTTAAACATTCTCTACAGACTCATCTGATCAGCACTCAGAACTTAGAAATTTGTAACTAGCTTACACTCAGCGATGACTAGGGGGTGTTTTGGTCACACACACTGAAAAAAGAAAAATCTGGGCTCAAATTACAGTTCATCCTTTTAATAGCTGTATGTCTTTGATCAAACCATTTAAAGTCTATACTTCCTCTTTATAAGAAGGGGATATCAACAGTGCTTAGTGTGGGTTTAGTGGGGAGTAAGGATAAAGTTCACAATCCTTCATATGGCCCCCAAGACATTCCCTGATCTAGCTTATGAGTGCCTCTCTACCCTCATTTCCAGTCACTCGACCCACTGCTGTTCAGCCATTGGGACCTCCTCTCCTCAAACTTACCAGGACCCTTCCTGCTTCACAGCGGGCTCATGTGCTACTCCCGATACTTAGAGCAAACTTCTGCAACCCTTCCCTCCAATTAGTCTGCTAACTCCTCCTCCTTCAGAAGATGCTGCTTCTCAGAGGATTCCCTCCTCCTTGCCCCGCCCTCATAGGTGCTCTCAAAGTTCTACTTTTCCTTCAAAGCGTTAATCACAATTGTAGTTATACTGCTGCTTACAGAATCACTCATTTAGTGGCTGTCTCTTCAGCTAGACTGCAAACTGCTTGAAGGCAGGACCTACCTCTGTGACAATTACAAACACACCCCTGCTAACTAACACAGTGTCTGGCACATAATGAACACAATAAATGTTGGGTACTTGTTATAAATTACTACTATGTCAGGAATGAGTTCACATGCAAGCAACGTGTTACTTGACTAATAGTAGCTTATTGGGGTTTATTATTTTTACATAACCAAGAATTATGGGTTAGAGTTAGAGTTAGAGTTAGGGTTAGGGTTAGAGTTGTCAGATTTAGGGGGAAAAAAACAAAAAGAAAATTAGAGGGCATACAGTTAAATTTGAATTTCAGATAAACTATAAATAACTTTTTAGGGTGAGTCCCAAATATTACATATTGAAGACCTGTTTTTCTGAAATTTAGCAACTTGAAAGTGTTATGGAAAAGCCAGGGTCTTTCATCCTTGGCTTCGGAGCTACCCCAGGAGCTCACAGGAAGGCAGCAGAAGCTCCCCGCACAGTGTCAGTCATAAAGGCAGGAAGCTGGGTAGTGGATGCACAGCCAGCCACAGGCCTTCCAGAGTCACCCAGCAGTGACCCCAACAGCCAGGACTGCCTCCTGGCCACTTCTCACTGAAAGGCTGGGAAGAGGCGTTCTGAGAGGTTTGAGCTCATTGTGTTTCATTGTCTGGGGATGTTGCCACGGGGAAGAAAAAGCTTTTACTAAGGAAGGAGGAGAAAATAGGTAACAACACCAAGTATTACCACAACCTTTTCTCTGCTTATCCTCCCTGGCTCTGATTTTAGCAAGCTTAGATAGATGTAATTTGTGTTACCAAAACAAGAGGATTTTTTTTTTTTTTTTTTTTTTAGTGTAAAAGTCTAGATATGACTTTTCAAACTTTATTTTTTCCAAGAATTTCTGAAATACCATCCCCCACAGAGGGCAATTGTTGATTGAGAAGCATCATACTTGACGGTCATTTCCCCCCATTTCAGCATGTGAAAGCAGGTCAGAGAAAGACTCTTTATCTTGAGAAAAAAAAAAAAAAAAATTTAAAAAACATTAAAAATAAATTAAAAAATAAAAAAAATACAGAAAAACACACAAAAAAAGTAAAAATCACTTTAATTCTACTACCTTTAGCCCCATGAATTTATAAAAAGAAAGACATGAAAATATATCTTCTATCTCTCCAGTTCTTCCTACTGAAATAGCCACTGTTTCTCATTCATTTTTAGTAGTTTCTAACAATGCGTCTTGAAGTGGCTGCCACCTCATCACCAGAAGCTCTGGCTTTCCCATGACCTACCAGTCTATCAAGAAGTACAGCCTGAGCCATAAATGGGGCTCAGGAACAGTGCTCTCCTATCTATTCGAGTCACTGCTTCCCTGTCACATGTGAGGGAGCTCTGCACACAACCACTTTTTAACTGCTTGGCATCAGGGCTGCCTCTTAGACCTGGACCTACTCCTTGCTTCTGTTTCTTTGTAGAATCAGGTGCCCAAACAGCCTGATGCTTGCTCATTTCTGCTTGGGAGCGCCTCTAGTTCTTCTCTCCATCCCCTGGCTTCAGTATGAGATGCAGCTCCATAAACCCCTACTTCTTAGATGCCTTCAGTGAAACACACAGATTCCTTCTGCTCCAGAATTTTATTGCAATTTACTGTGGGGTGTACAGGATGTTGTTATACATTACTGGGTGCTCCCTTTAGCACTGAAGACACTCATTCTTCCTGCTGCAAAGAATGTTACCTGCTGACAGCACACAGCTGAGTCCATCTTCAGGAATTGCCCTCTGCCAAAGGAAACAACCTTGCCCACAGTTATGGTTATGCACCTTAAGGGTGGAACAGCCCACCTTCAATGACTGGTTGATGAGAAGGTGCAAAGGTGCTAAGAAGATGGCCCCCTTTGCCCATCATTAAAGGGCCAACCAGCTTTAGAGCTTCCTGAGGCATCACTGACAGCCTCTATTGCAACCACATCACAGTTCAACTTCTCCCTCTGATCAGTCCTGCTGCCTCCTCCCACCTCCCTTACAGGTGTTCCTGAGGACTGTCCTTAATTAACCACCTGCATACACATCCCTGTCTGGTTTGTTTCCTGGGCAACCTGACCTATGGCATGAGGGTAAAAATAATAACATTAAAAGCTTACACAGGTTTTAAAATTATGGTCCCAGGCCTTTAATTTCTGACTCCTGAAATTGTAAGTCATTACTCTGATGGGATTCTGCCCTCCTCTATAAAGTGGAAACAATAAAAGAGCTATGTGAAATCTATTTTCTAGGAAGATTATCTAAAGGTAATCTGAATAATAGTTTTCCTTTGCCTTGTGTTGGGTGACAAGTTCTCTAGGACCCTGTCCTACCCAAGAATTGTCACTTCTCAGATTTACTTATTATCCCATCCGACTAGTAAATGGTCATGGAACAATAGATTTATGTATATGATAACAGTGGGGAGGCTGACCAGTAAGTTGTAGTTCCTGGGCAGCAGAACCAACATACATACTAGCTGGTTGTGAATTTACTTGTAAAATGTGAGTGTGATCCAAGTCCCATATTAAGCAAGCCCTGGAATTTATAAGACTGAAAACTCCTTGAGGGTAGGGCCAATTTTGATGGTAGGTACTCAACCTACATGTGCTTTATTCCTGAATTAATGTTCCTCTTCTACATGGAAGTAACAGTCAAATACAACCTGTAATATATTGATGAATATGTTAACCGATAAAGTCTACAAACAATAAGTGGATATTTCTTTCATTCCTTAGCATAGAATTAATTTGAGATTAGGGATATTCTGAATATCAATAATATTCCTTAGGATTTGCTATATATATAATCATGTCTGAATACACTTTTATTTCCTTCTTTCCAATCTTTATGACCTTACTCAATTTTTACAACCTTATTTCATTGGTTAGAACCTCTGGAATGATACTAAATAAAAGTAGTGAAAGTCAACATCCTTAATCTTGAAAAAGTGTTCAATATTTCACTATTAAGTACTATGTTAGCAGTAGGTTTTCAATAGATGTCTATTATAACATTGAGTTAGTCCTCCTGCACTTTTAGTTTACTGAGATTTTTTTCATGAGTTTTTGTTGAATTTCTCAACTTATTTTGCATGCATTGATATATGCACATGATTTTTCTCCTCTATTCTGTTAATCAATTACATTGATTGATTTACAGTTGTAAAGTCAGTCTTGAATACTTGGTCATGATGTATTATCCCTTTACATATTGCTGGATTTGACTTATTAATATTTTGATAAGAATATTTACATGTATATTCATTAGGGATTTTGTTTCTTGTAATGTCCTTCTTAGATTTTGGTATTAAGGCTGTGTTGATCTCATAACATTAATTGAAAAGTATTCCCTCATCCTTTATATTCTAAAAGGGTTTATTCAAGACTGGTATAA